ACTGCACTGTACAGGGACAATGATGGCATGCTTGGACTTGTAGTTCCTTAGCTGATAAATATGTGTGGGGGTGGGGGGTACAGTTCTAGTGGATGTTTATATAATATGGGGGGGGGGCTAAAAAAATGTTCTGCCCCGGGCGCCCATAACTCTGGTTACGCCACTGGTCACCGGGGATCAGAGGGACATCGTTACACGAGCTCCCTCCGTTCCCCTCTCCTCTGAAAGAATGCGGAAGTGTTGTATAATACATCACTTCCGCATTCTTGTGTCACTCTCCAGCTTCAGATGCTGGAGAGAAGCTGATGAAGCAGATCTGTGCTTCATCAGCTTCTTTTGGGGGGTCCTAGGTGACATTAGGGGTCTTGGAGACCCCTGATGTCTCCATAAAGAGGACCTGTCACATATTTTGCTATTACATAGGGGGGTTTTGTTAGCCGTGTGTATGTGTGTATATATATACATATATATAGCCACTCCCGGCTTTCTGATTGAATGAGAAGCCACAGCCAAGTTCACTCACAGCTTCCAGGCACCGAGGACTGCAGCTGTTATGTGAGGAACGTAAGTGGCAAGTGCTGCTACGCATAGTGTTGCCAGCCTTTCTTCAAGCAAAACCCGAACACTCTAGGTCCCCAAGGAAATTTTGTTTTGTAGAATATACAGGAGAGACAGCCAGGAGGGAGAGCGGGGAGAGACTGCCAGGGGAGAGAGTGAGGAGAGACAGCCGGGGGAGAGAAGAGAGACAGCCAGGAGAGAAAGCCAGAAGGATGAGCGGGGAGAGAGAGACAGGAGAAAAAGCAATGAGAGACAGACAGGAGAACGAGTGAGGAGAGAAAACCAGAGGATGATTGAGGAGAGACAGCCAGGAGAGAGAGTGAAGAGAGACAGCCAGGGAGAGAGGAGAGCAGATAGGAGAGACAGCCAAAAGAGAGAGTGAACAGAGACCCTGCCAGAGAGACAGCCAGAGAGAGAGCAAGGAGAGACAACCAGAAGAGAGAGCGAGGAGAGACAGCCAGGGGAGATAGAGCCAGGAGAGAAAGCCAGGAGGATGAGCGAGGAGAGAGAGACAGGAGGAAGAGCGATGAGAGACAGACAGGAGGGAGAGCAAGGGGAGACAGCTAGAAGAGACAGTTAGGAGGATGAGCGAGGAGAGACAGCCAGGGAAGAGAGGAGAGACAGCCAGGAGAGAAAGTGAGGAGAGACAGCCAGGAGAGAAACTGAGGAGAGACAGACAGAAGAGAGAGAGAGGAAAGACAGCCAGGATAGAGAATGAGAAGAGACATCCAGGAGAGAGAGCCAGGGGGATCAGCAAGGAAAGAGAGACAGGAGAAAGAGTGATGAGAGATTGACAAGAGAGAGAGCGAACAGAGTCAGTCAGGGGAGAGAGGAGAGACTGCCAGAAGAGAGAGACAGGAGAGACAGCAAGCAACACATCTGCCCGAAGCAGAACCCCTGTGCCCTTCAAGACTTACACCCTGTGTTTCAGACACCTCTTTTCACCCTGAGTTCCAGCGTCCCTCTGTGTCCCATGCCTTCTTCATGCACTCAAGTTGGAACACCAGGACCCTGTGGTTGCCCCTGTCTGATGTGTCATCTTATGTACAGGTATCAGCTGGCCTGAAAACCGGACACAGCACATACAGGACTCAAAACCCAGACAGGTGGCAACCCTATGTATTCCTGAACCGGTCACAGGAAAATTTTTATAATCTCTACACTGGCTCAGTAATTGAAAACATGGTGCCCGCTGTTGCGGTTTCGTTGTTGCGCTTAGGGTGATTATGGTGTGCCCAGGCACCCTGTAAACGCGCCTTTAAACACTATCTTTAGGGAACACTGTGAACTTGTGCTTTTCCCATGCCATGCTAAAGGTTAATGTTCAGGGTTAGCTTAATGTTAGGGTTAGAAAGAGAATTTACTTTAGATTTATTGATAGAGTCAGGAAGCATGGTTAGAGTTAAAGTGAAAATAAACCACTGGCAACCAAAGGCAAATCAACTAAGAAAACATTTGAAAAGTGCTCCAGATATTTTAGAAAATGTGAATAAAGCTATATATCTTTGCCTACTGTTTATAAAACTGTCAGCTGCACTACCTTCTTTCCCACTAAAGCCACATCTTGGATGTGTCCTGGCACCTACTTCCTCCATCCCTACTGTCGGTGCCCGTTGGAGAAATCTACCTACACTATTTGTTCGGGTAACCACTGTCTCGGTGAACACTGTCAGAAGTTCTAACCCTATCACACTACATCCAAATATTTTAAAAAATTTGGGAGTTCTGTTTGAAAAGTTTAGGTGTAAAGGTGCCCATACACCTGCTGCTTATCGTACAATAATCGCGGGTGATCCCGCGATCGTACGGAAATCGGCAGGTGTATGGGCAGCGTGCAACCTCTTCTACTGTAAGGTCGCACAACATTTGTCTTCCGAGCACGCTTGAAAACCTGCCAAAAATCGTACGATTTTTGGCGGGTTGGTGACAAGTGCACACTGCCCGCTCAGGACTGCAATCATCGCAAGTATGATCTGCCTGTCCAAGATGGGCAGATCGTACGAAATTTTAATTACCTTACAACTATCGCACAACGAAAGTCAAAGAAAAATGTTAAGTGATTTGCATCAGGTTAGGGTGAACTGTTAGTGTGAGGGGAAGAGTTAGGGATAGTTCAAAAGTTTGTGCATAGTAGCAAAGTTAATTTACGTTTGTTTTTGGCACTGAAATGCCATTTTGCACTTTAGGTGCTAGGGCTCATCTCATATAGCGGCTGAGTTGCCATTAGATAGTCTGCTGCCTCCCCTATCATTCTTCAGTAAAAACAGGACAATTGTTGTTGCAGTGCCTTTGGGAAATACTTACTGAAAGGTACAGCATTGGGGAGGAGATAATAGCTTCTGCTACTAGATGCCCTCAGTCTTTCAGGTTTAAGGACACCCTGAGGAGGCATAACAGGGGCACTTAATGCGCTCAATGCACTCAATGATGCAACAATGTAGGCAGCGATACAGACATCATCACATCACATCACCACCATTCTCTGCATCATCAAGGACCACCCACAATCAAGAGAAGATTAGAACAGGAAGAGCACCCTGAACATCACGTGGCCAACCTGAAGGCTATAGGAATATTTAAAGTGACACTAAACTCATGATGATTTGAGGATCTACAACTAAGTGATGCGAAATAAGGTAGCTTTGTTAATAGGTAAGGTACTTGAATGCATTTTTAAGATTTAACTACTGAGTTTAGCGTCACTTGAGTTTAGGCATTGATACAATTTAATGGTAGGTAGGGATAGGCTGGATGTTCGAGTCGAACATGACTTCGACTTGAACATCGCTAGTTCGTGTGTTCGGCAGTCTGTTCGACCGCTGAACGCCCCACAAGGCAATGCGCCTTGTGAAGCCCTAATTGGCTGAAGGCTTGCATCTGACCACAGGTCAGGTGCAAGACTTTGCCCAAGCATGGCTCACCTGTCAGATGATGTAAAAGTGTACACAGTTGGGCAGAGCTAGCAGTCACCGCTAGCGCCACCCAAAGTTTATGTTTTGCCGGCATCTGTCAAAATGCCATTATGCGGCTGTAGTATATCGCGAGCGGACGGTGGTTGTCGTTTTTTAAAAATGTTATTGTTATTTCTATTTTTTTTATTTCGTCGAGTCGTCGTCATGGGTAACGCTGGATGTCATGATTGACCCTGGATTATGCAGTCTGGTCAGTGGATCCATTTTTTTTTGGTGGGGGGGGGGTTTAACAATAAAGGACTTATCAAAATCCTTTGTTGTGTGTTTTTTTTCAATTAAAGGATTTTTCCCCAAAGTCTGTTTTTTTCATTTAATTTTTTTTAACCCTTTAGTGAATGGGTAGGGGTACCCCTTACTCATTCACAAGGGGGGTTATTAAAGGGGTACCCTAATGTGAATAAGCGCCCTGCCCGCACCCCCACAACCCACGCCCCAAGGTTTGTGGGGAAAAGGCGCCCTTGTCCCCATCGGCACGGGGACAAGGGGGTTTCTCAGGGGCGACTCTGGAAAAGCACCCTCCCTGTGCCAAGGGCATGTGGCCTGGTATGGGAGGGGGGGTGCTCGCTCGTCCTTCCCCCTTTCCGATCCTGCCAGCCCTATACTCAGATCAAGGGTCTTTTTTTTTTAGGGGGGACCCCACATTTCCCCCCCCCCCATTTTGGGGGGTGAGGTTCCTCCTTAAAATTATGACTTTAAGGGGGAACCCCACACATTTTCTATTAGTTTTTTTTTTACACAGGGTCCCTCCTAAATATTCCTACCAGACCTTAAGGGTCTGGTATGACTTTTGGGGGGAACCCCATGCTTTTAAAAAATGGGGTCCCTCCTAACATTCCTACCAGACCTAAAGGGTCTGGCATTGTTTGAGAGTGGGAACTGCACTCTTTAAAAGAAAATTTTCCTTTTTTTTCTTTAGAAATGTCAGTTTTGCCGCAGCAGGTTCTATACATCGTACAGATTTGCCACTTTACAGGCAGTTTAAAGGGACCCCTCAGGCACAATATTTAAAGGAATTTTTCATTTTTATTGTTATCGTTTAAATGATGTTAAAATCACTGCTCCTTAAAAAAAAAAAAAAAAATTTAAACTTTTTTTCCATTAATTCCTGTCCCCCAGGGCAGTACCCAGATCCCCATACACTTTTTTTATGGCCAATAACATGCATATAAGCCCTCTTAAAGGGGACAATTGTTTTTGAAAGTTCTACCCCCATAGACTTGCATTGAATTCAAACTTTTTGGATGTTCTAAAGTTCGAATTTGAACCGAACCTGGGCCTGTTTGGCCCAGAACTAATGGTAGGTACTGCCTAAAAACATTTTTCGATATTTATGGTTGGAAGGCAACTCTGTATTCTTGAAATTGCTAATACATAGAAAGTTCCCTTTAGCTCTGTAGAGACCATACACAATAAACTTTTATTATTTGGTCATTTTTGGTCTGTAAAATATAAAATGAAAAGCTTTCTTTTTCTGTTTGATAAGTGTTTGAAAAAAAATAACCTGTTGTTGGGAAAAAAATAACCTGTTGATCCTGCTAGAAATCTTGTTAGCTGGAAACTTTTTCTGCTTCTCTACCTCTACTGACTTTTATCAGTTACATTGTTCCTAGCCACAGTAGTTCTAAAGACTACAGAACCACACCCCTCTATATAATAGAAAAGAGGACAGATGGGAGGGCTCTGTATTTTTCTTTGTTTCTGTATTCCTGGTACAGTGCAGTGAGTTAGTGTTGCCACTCAAGGACTGAAAGTGTGTTAATGATAGAATAACCAGTTATATGAAAGAATAAAGCTTGAAAAGAGACAACTAAGGGAGCCACCACATCTAAGGTCTGGTAAGCTGCAATATATACATATCAGGTGTATGCGTTTAGATACACTTTAACACAAATCATCTTATTATTGTGCCCTTTCATAGTGATTTTGTTATGTAACAATATTATCATTTTAACAGTGTGATTTTCATGTAATAAATGTATTTGCTATAACTTTTCTTATTTTCTTATTATTCTTTATGTTATGCATTGCATGTTTCCTTAAGTTAGAACATGAGGGATAAAAATAGATACCTTATGCCTTTCGATGGCAGATCATAACCTGAGCAGATTATATAGTGTTTGACTGTAAATTTCATTATTCACTTTGCCTTTTTTACAGTAAGAAAAACATTGTGGTAAATTTAGCAGCTCAACAATTTGTAACGTTGCGCAATTTCTTTTATTATTTTATTTGCTACTTTTTGGTTAATTTTCTTTCTTGTTTTTAACATATACAATAACAATTTATCTTTTGCCATAAAACAATAAAATATACCCCAAAAAAAAGTGTTCTGCCTAAAAACGATTACTATATTTTCAAATTGCACACCTTTTTTCCTCAAAGGACAATTTTAAAAACATTTTGACAAACATGAAACCACTAATTTGGCAGTGAAATCAAGTTTACTAAAACTGTAAGATCATCCTAGTAATAATACTACAGTGTCTCTTTTTAGAGCATTTTATTTTTTAGATCTCCAGTGTAGATGTTGTAGACTGACAAGATTAGTACCACATCTGACTAGTTTCTTTCCCACATGCTCAGTTTTAATCTTTTCATCCCTTTCCATTGCTTGTTTTCTACCTTTCCTTTTTCTACCTTCTCTCTTTTTTTTATGAACAACAACATGAGGATTTACATAGTTACATAGTATTTGAGGTTGAATAAAGACATATGTACATCAAGTCCAACCTATGGTGTGTATTTGTGTGTGTGTGTGTGATTTCTTTCCATTGCTTTCCATTGCTTACCTGGCAAAGCAGTCATCAAATCTAGCTGTAGCCCGGAATCCAATAATTGCGTAAATAACTGTGGCAGAATATACTGATGTACAACCATTTATGATAGAGATAATGACAGCATCCTGTTCACAGTTGTTACTGTAAAATAGAAATATATTTATTTCTATGCATCTTATTAGTGAAGCAGCTTTGTTACAAATGCAATTTGATAAACATTAATAACAAATATAGATCAAAGAGAAAACAACTGAACCCTTGAAATATACCTGGCTTTCGGCATGAATGCTTACCAAAATACGATCAGATCTTCAAATAAGTTATAATAATAAGATAATCTTATTTGACAAACATTATATGCAGCATTTTACATAGTTACATAGTATTTGAGGTTGAATAAAGACATAAGTCCATCAAGTCCAACCTATTGCGTGTGTGCATTTACATTTTATATTGTTGTCCTGACTTACTAGACCATATACACATACTGTACACCATCACATCAATGCACACAATTAATGGATCGTACAACATAATTGTATCCTCTCGGTATGTAACGTGGGCTCATGATACTCATGGATACACGTGCACAGGTCAGCATACAAATGCACCTAAAATGTGCTCTGTTAAGATAAGTACTGGATAACTAAGTGCTGGAGTACTTTACAGAAAAATTAGATTTTGTATGCTAACATTTTTGGGCTTGACATCTGTTTAGCTATTTAGAATGTGTGTTTCATGCAGGAAAACGTCAGCGACTGTGAAAAATGGCTAGTATTTAAAAAACCCATAGTCCATGCTTTGTGGAGGTTACCTCAATGCACATGCAAAAAACATGTGTGCAGAGGTGTAGGCTTTGACCACATCATACATACTCGCATTATTGCAATTACTGCTGTTTGTGAATTGAGGTTCAAATAATATATACTCATGCATACACTGTCTCATTTGCTTCAGTAGCATGATGTGTGGGTCTTTTGGGGCTGTTCCTTTTCACACACATGCTCATCTCATATATTAGTGAGCAGTTGTGGAGTTTGTCACTTTTTTTTTTAATAATGTAAACGCACACATTTGTTAGTGCGCAATCTTAGAATATGAGGCAGAAAAGTGGTATTATTTTGAATTTGTTATGCATACTGCAAACTGTTACCACATGCATTAAACATGAGTGTATGTTTTAGCAGATCTCTAAGGGAAATTCAAATGCTGTATGTAAGTACATCCAAGCCCTCATTTGAACCCACATTGAAAGTGTGAGAATTATCCTCAGTTTCTTCCTGCAGTTGCGACCGTTTCTACTGTACGGTCGCGCGTCTTTTGTCTTCCGAGCACGCTGGAAAACCTTCCGAAAATCTTAAAATTTTCGGCGGGTTAGTGGTGTGCTCGGCAGACAAATGTCGAACGGGCCGGTGTGCGCAAGCGCACACTGCCCGCTCAGTATTGCAGTCATCGGAAGCCCTCCCCTCAGCGGGGCGGGCTTGCGATGATCGCAAGTACGATCTGCCTGTCCCAGATGGGCAGATCATACAAGCTTTTAATTACCTTACAACCATCACACAACCAAAGTCGTGCGATGGTTGTAAGGTGTATGGCCAGCTTTAGACCTGCAGGACTCTTGATGTAGACATGCTAAGCAAATTTGCTACAAATTCAAAAAGTGTCAACTAGAACTTGTGCTGCGAGTGTTCTGCAAGTCTACAACTTGCCAGGAATGTGTGCAGCAAGTTAACAAAAATTACAATTTAACCCTGCCACAAGTTTGTGGCAAGTTATCCTTGCTATCTGGGAACTAATAAAAATCTAGAAAGGTTAACCAGTTGACATCCGCGGTGTTAAACCCCCTTCCCATCCAGGCCATTTTTCAGTATTCTGACGCAAACGAGCACATATAGGCGATCAGCGGGCTATGGACCCGCTGATCGCCTATATGTGAAACACCCGGTACCGGGTGTTCGCATTGGACGGGTCTTTTCTGCCCGTGCGTGCCCGCTAGGGGGCGCGCGCGAGCAGAAAAAAAATGCAGTCTGGCGACGGCAACCCGCCAATGCAGCAGTGCCGTCTGTCCGTTTTTCTACTACGGGCGGACGGCAAGAGGTTAAAGAAACTGAAGAACACCACACTGCAAGGGTTAACTTCTCAAAATCCTGGAGATCTTCTTAATTGCTCATTTCTCTCTAGGAGGGAAAATAAAGGATATATTCACCAGATCCTTGGTCCTGCTGCAGTGACTGCTCACCTCTCTTCCCCTCTGCTCTGTCTGTGGTATGTCCCTTGGCAACTTTATACATGTGATGACATCAGGGGACCTTAAGCCGCCGGAGCCCAGGGGAAAAGAGACTGTGGGGACCAGTCTAGCAGCCAGACATGACTGAAGATCAGGTAAGTACATCTTCTCTATTTTCGCTCCCTAGACAAAATGAGCAGTTAACCCTTGCAGTGCAAGGATAGCCCCACTGCAAGGGTTCACTTTTCAAAATCCTGCAGGTCTGCTTTAGGATGGAAGTTCACCCAAGAATTAGTCAATGAACATTAAACAGACATATAACACATGCATGTTGATAAATAGATAGCACCATGTTTGACTTCTACGCGCACTTTGGTTGTCCAGCAATCAGCATTGGACAACTGCAGACTAAAGGTGGCCATACACTGTACAACCATCGCAAGATCTTAGTCTTGCGATGGTTGTAAAGTGATTAAAAAAACGTACGATTTGCCCATCTTGGACAGGCAGATCGTACTCTCGATCATCGCTGAGGGGCGGGCTTATGATGACTGCAATGAGGGGCGGGCTTAAGATGACTGCAAACGGGCTGTGTGCGCGTGCGCACACCGGCCCGTTAGGCAGTTGTCGAACCAGCAGGCCACTAACTTGCCGAGAATCGTACGATTCCCGGCGGGTTTTCAAGCCTGCTTGTTCAACGGAAGACGTGCGACCGCACAGTAGAAACGGTCGCACGCCTTCCATACACTGCACGATTCTCGTACGATCGCGGGATTTCCCGCGATTCTCGTACGAGAATCGTGCAGTGTATGGGCACCTTAAGCAACACCATGCCACTCACGGGGGTTGTTTTAATTGGCGGTTCACTATGCAAGGATTGTTCACTTAGCTTAGTTTATTCACTTTGCAAAGAATACCCAATGACATGCAAGGAAAAAAACACTATTTGTGCTTGCACAAAATTGAATGATGAAAGTCAGCAGAACTTCAAATCATTCACTAAGCTAAGGGGAAATTCCCTTTCAAAGTGCAAATTCCCTTTGCAGAGTAAACAGCCTATTTGCCTTTAATAAATCAACCCCACAGTACAAACTCTTTGACAGCATCAGGGCACAGAGGAATCATGTGTAGCAGTTTTTTTTGCAAAACATGATATAGAAAGCATGAGGAGGACTAAGCAATGTAATGTCGTTGCATGGTGTCACTGGTAATAGCCAGCAGTGTTTAATGCTGTTTGCTGGAGATCTGGAGTGTGTACGGAAGTCAAACATGGTGCCATGCATTTATCACCGTGCATGTGTTATATGGCTATTTAATGTTCATTAAGCAATTCTAGGGTAACTTGCACTTTCAAAAAAGGACTTGTAATTAAGATTAAGCCACAGTTAGGTAGATAGATTACACATGCTAGAGCATCAGCTCTATGCATCCTCTTTTTAGGAGTAGCTGTCCATAAAATATAAGTGCAAGGGCAGGTAGTTCAAATCTCAAACAGGTAATAAGAACTCTAGGATTATATATGTACATAGCATAATATTTTTTTAAAACATATGCAAAAACCTCATTCCTTATTTCAGGGACAAATTAATCCCAAATTGTATCAGTAATTCTGCAGCAAAATGGATTGGCATTGATCTGTAATCTATATAAAATCTTTGATCTGTAATCTAAATCTAAAAAGAGAATTCCACCATTAAGTAAGTATTTTAATAGCCTAGTAAAATCAGTCACGGTGAAGTCACGGTCGGCTCTGCCCAGTTGTTATTCATTGGCCTGTACATGCTAGAAGACTCTAGCAGGTGCTGGCCAATTGGAAGCAGTTGGGCGGAGCTAGTTGTCACTGCTAACTCCGCCCAATTGTTTTTGTTTCGTTTAAAAAATATATTTATTTCTTTTTTAAAATCTAATATTTTTTTTACATTTTTAAAAATATGTTTTAAATTTCTTTTTTTTTTTAAACTATTTTAATTGATTTGCTATTCTGCTCGGTACCACGGAGGTACCGAGCAGACTAGCCGGCGGCATTCGGCTATTCACTCGAGTTGAGTTCTTCTGCACTTCGAATTGAGTGAATAGTTAAAGTTCTTCTGCACTTTGCCTCAGCCGAACATGCAGAGCATGTTTGGCTGACCGAAGTGCAGTCGAAGGCAGCCGATGTACGGCTGATGTCAGCCGATGTACGGCTGAAATTACCCGTAGAAGCCTGAAGTGAACAGCATTAGGCTCACTTCCCTTCGGCTGAGTCATTTACTCGGCCGCCTTTGGCAGCTTTGGGAATAACCCTCTTAGGCTTTAGTGTCTCTGTCTGGTGCAGACATTCCTGGACATTTTCTATGTAAATAGAACTCTCTAGTGCAGCCATATTCGCTTTGTCTCAGATTGCATAGAGAGACATCCTAACCCTGCATTCACTCAAATGTTATGAGACTTTAGATACACATATCTACCACAACAACTTGCCTGGGGAGTACAAAGTGTGGCGGCATCATGCATCACATGACTTTCCACAGATGAGAGATCAATAAAATGTTGTTTGGTAATATTCCTACTTCTCTATACTTATTTAAAATGTAATTAACAATCAAACTTTTGAATAACAATCCAGAACACCACATCCACAATCATAATCAGCAACCAGCAATTAAAATATTGTTACTTAACCCCTTCGTGACAGTGTACGTCGCCAGCATTGGGGCTGTTTAAACAGACTCCCGGCGGCTATTGCCACCGGGACTCTACTTAAACTTGTAAAGCTGACTGTTGCTTCAAAGTAAAGTAAAAAAAAAAAAGTTTTTTGCATTAAAATAAATCTAATAATAATAAAAAAAATGTTAAAAGTCCCCCGCCCCCATGAGCACGCGCGTCGCCACGTAAACACGCGTCGGGTGCGCCTACGTATGAAAACGAGGAACAC